GAAGAGATCCGTCTTTACCGCTTTCTTAAAAGCAGCAAGTGTAGTTCTGTCTTGACTAGACCCATTGACTCTATTGGATTTATCTAATGGAGATTATCAGATGGAGGATAAGGATGGGAGCAAAGTGTATTGCTCCTGTCCTTATCCCATCATATTCACATGACTGGGGAAAAGATTATCACACACTGTGTGCTTATCCAGTTCTTCTCCTCTCCGTGAAGTGTAATGGTGTCATTTGATATTAACAGAAACTCCAAATAGGATGGGATAAAGATTGAAGCAATTTACTTTGCTCCCGTCCTTATCCTCCCTCTGATAATCTACATATGTGTTACCTGATCATTCAGTCATTGACTGAATGTATCTACTCTAGATGGGACTAACTGGATGCTAATCCTAGTTTTTAAAAGTGTTTTTTTTTAGTTTGTTCAGAGGGCTTTCTAAGCTACTTAAAATGTGAATTGTCACTCTGGAGGCCTCCTTTGGGTTATTCAAATGATGTTCTTGGGCTTTTTAGTGTGACGAAGGGCCTCAGCAGACGACTAATAGGGTCGTCTTCGAGCCCTGGGAGAGGAGGGGCAGCCGCATGAGCGGCGCCCCTTCCTCCTCCCGAGGTTGCCCTCGGAGTTGCCGGCCGTCCGCACGGCCGGCGCTGCCGGGGCAACCTCCCGCCGCAGTGACTGCATGCGCTGCGGTTGAAAAGTCAGGGAAAGTGCACCCTACGCGTTTAGGGCGTACTTTCCCTGTCTTCCGAAAGGAGCGCTATTTTTGTGCTCCTTTCAGGGACGCCGTTGGTGCACCGCGGTGCGGCTGCCATGGCCCTGCGGCGCACTGGCCCAGGGCGTCTTGGACACCCTGGTGTGCTTCCCCCCTAAGAGAAGAATTCCACCCATCCATTCTGGTTTTGTTGTTCTCAATATTTTTTAAAAATCAGAACCACATCTATGTGCATGTCTGAGTGTTCTGTTGCTCACATTTGTCAGGATTGCTAATGAAGATGGCGTCAAAGATATGGATGTATTCAAAACACATTCAAGGTGTGCAGAGTTTTATCTCAGTTTGCTCCAAGTCTATTTGAATTGGTTGTTCACACAGTTGACAATCCGAAACAAACAGACTTAAAAAGCCAGCTTCTGTGCAGCTTGGGGGTGTGGAGATTACATGATGCATGCCCCCAATCTGTGCAGAAGCCACCTTGGAGCTGTGCCAGGATGCCTAAGGTGGCCCAAAAAGGAACATATCTTTTCTGCTTCTTGCAGTGGTCCATTTGAGATTGCGGCAGCAGGCGCCCTTGGGGCCACGGTGTGTGGTCACCATGGCCCTGGGATGATTGGGCCAGGAGTTGTTCAGGCCAATCTGTTTTGCCCCAATGTGAATCTTTTAGGAAAATTGGGGGGGGG